TTCTCTCGCGAGAAACCGCTGCTCTGACGATACTTGAAGAGGTGGGGAAAGGAGGGGGCCGCGGGAGCCGGGGCAGACTGTGGGTGCCACAGGCGGACAGGCGGCCACAGCTGGGACAGCTGCGGGCGGAGCGCAGCGCAGCGCAGCAGCGGCTGCTGGGGCCAGGTCCGAGGAGCAGTCACCGCCGCCGCCGCTTCCGAGTCGGAGCCGAAGCTTCTCCAGTGGGTGCAGCCGAGGTCCCGACAGGGGTCGGGCGGCCACCAGGGCTGGGGATCCAGCCACGGAGGCTTTGCGTTTGCGCCGCGCCGAGGGCAGGGACAGGGACAGGGGTGAGGGGCTGTCCCGGAACATTCACAGCTGGCGCTGGCTCTCTCCTGCCTGACAGCTTCCTGGCCCGGGGCGCCTGGTGCCGGGCTCGGCGTCAGTTGCTCTGGGGGCGGTGGTAGCCTCCGCAGCCGGCGGGACGGGTTTCCAGTCCCGCGACTTGGCGGAGAGGACGGGCTAAGGAGCTGGGGCGTTCAGAGAGCGCAACGCGCGCAACTCGTGCTTTTAAAAACTAAACGCAGCAAGCTCGCCCCGGGGCTTACGACCGTTTCGGGCGTGGGTACTTTGTGCCGCGCTAGTCAGCCGGAGCAGAGGAGGCCGAGGGGTCCGCTGGAGCCGCTGCCTCCGGGGGCCTGGGCTTTTCAGCCAGATGTGGACCAAACGGTCTTCACTTACCCAAATTAACTGCGCCACGCGCAGGCGGAGCGCGGGTTGGGCTCCGGAATGGGGACCGCGAGGCTTTAGCATCCCGATGCCCTGAATCTCTTCCCCACTTCGGGGATTTGTTTCTGTTGCAGCTGGCAGGGGCCTCCTGAAGTGGGAGCAGCGCCTGAGGAAGGCGGGAGGAGCCCAGCCCCGGGGACAGGCGGCGGGACAGCGGGACCCCGGCGGCGCGGTGCGCTTAAGGGCGCAGAGGCTACTCGAGACACAGCCTCGGGTGCGGCAGGAGGAGGCGGGAGCCGGCGGCCGCTCGGCATCATGCGGCGAGAGGGGCTGCTGGAGATCGCCCTGGGATTTACCGTGCTCTTAGCGTCCTACACGAGCCATGGGGCGGATGCCAATTTGGAGGCTGGAAACGTGAAGGAAACCAGAGCCACCCGGGCCAAGAGGCGAGGCGGCGGAGGACTCGACGCGCTTAAGGGGTAATGTAACGGGTCAGCTTCTTTGGTGTGGGTCTCCCTTCCCCCTCTCCCGAGTTGAGTTTAAGATCTAGAGCAACTGACCGGGTCAATTCTCCACAGTGCCACAGTGGAAGGATCCTTAGCAAGATCTCCCGGGGACACCTTGGAGGTCCTAAGGTTACACATTCTTCACCGCCTTAGGAGCTAAGCCACCTTGCTCTGGCTCCTGAAAGATTCTGGCCCCAGCAGAGGGGTCTTGGTTAAAAGGAATCTTGGGCCATTGTTGAGGCAGATTTTGGGAGGCGAGAAGGGTTCCTTGAGGAAAAAGGGGAGGAGCTGTGACTGAGAGAAAAGGAGAAGCTCGTTCCTTTCCCTTCAACGGTAATTCGGTAATTCCGGTTGTGTTTAGGGCAAAGTAGTTTGCTTGTGGGGGTCTTTGCAGATACTCTTTTTGTAAGGGAGCAAAGATAGGAAAACATTCCAATGACAGAGAAGATGCATGGTTAATAGCTGGCCCTCCGGAAATTATGCTTATTAAGATTGGGGACTGAGTTTCCTGGGGGTATACACCCCCTCAAATATCAACACTGGAAGCAAAGCTGGACAAGTGTTTCTGAGCACTTGTGGTTGGGTTGTGCTGAGCTTTCCATGTCACTGCTGCAGTTATGTCGCTGTGGCTGGTGTGTGTTTCAAACTAGTGGTGTATGTGTTACCTGCATGCAGCATTATTTCACTGGCTTTAAATGCTCCTCTTATAGAAAATAGTTCAGCAGGAAAGTTTAAATTAGGTAGGTTGAACTAAGTGTTGGTTGTCAATTCCCTGAATGGAAGGAGGGTGTGAATGAATACACTTTAAGATTTTTTAGATCAAAAGAGAAGTCACTTTCTGAGATCAAGTTCAAGCCTGCATAGAAATAGTAGGATGGATTATAAATGATCCCTTTTATCTACTTGGAAGATCCTTTTAAATGAACTCAGGCAGTAAACATACAGTTTTTTAAAAATAAATTTTTATAATTCTCACTGATGCTCTTTTCTTGAATGTTGTGTAGCTTTATTATATGGCCTTGTATGACCAAGTGAAGGTGCCCACTGGATACTGTTTTTTTTTTTTGCTATGGGCTGTTTCAGTTATGTGTATGTAGTGAAGTTTGTGTTTTCATAGTCCAGGTATGAGAAGAAGATGTGTGGTGAATGGAGCAGACCAGTTTTTGAGTCCTAGTCTGGACTAAGGACAAGATGCTTGTGAGAGCTGAGTATGTAAACAGCAGTGAAATGTGTGTGATTTTCTAACCCCAGAAAGTAGTCACGATTAATTCAGTTTCTGTCTTGGCTGTTGTGGGAAATAAACCCAGGATTCCACCAATACTGGAAATGAAATTTGCTGATCCTGATCAGGCGACAGACATTTTTGCCCTGTATGCCAGCCATATGATAAGTTCAATAGATGGACCGAAACTTTGCTTTTCATGTGTTCTCTAAAGAGCTTCATTTAATCTCTCATTTCCCCCTCAAAAGTATATTTCTGTTATACAGTATTATCATAATAACTATTCTTGATGACATTGCTTCTATGCATATAGACAGAGGAAGTTGGAGTTCAGTTCTGTGGATAAAAATCTGTGGGGAGACATTAGGTCTGGCCAGACATTTGTATCTCCATGTGCTGTCACTGACCCTAGTATTTCCTTGGGAGGCACAGACCCCATGCAAAAACAGAAACTAAGCTTTTCTTTGTTGCTTAACAGGATGCCACACTTTACTCACACCAGCACTTATTTCTGTTGATTTTTCTAGTTAATTTTTTTAAATCACCAAAGAAATCACTCTTTGTACTTCTCACAGATTTGATCACTAATGTATCATTGCACTAATGGATCACTAATATATCAATACTATTGCAAATTATTTATAAGGTCTTCCTAAAACATATTATGAACAGATTAGTAATTCTGAGTGCTTTTGTTTGCCATGTTATCTATAAAGTTGCCTATCTATATTTGCGGGTTCAAAATAATAATTTTGAAGAATATATAATTAAAAGTACTTCTCTCCTGACTTTCAGAGGCCATTTTCTTATGTATTTTCCAGAAATAAGCATGTATATATACACATAAATATATGTATATACACATATGTATATTATATATACATAAATATATGTACATATGCATACATCACTTTTAGTACATGGAATATACTATACATAATGTTCTGAACTTTGTTTACTTTTTATGTATTTCTAGTGTAGTTATCCATTAAGTCATATGAATCTAACCTATGTGTTTTCTTGGTGTATAGAATTCCGTGATGTGGCTGGAACAGTTCACTAATGATGGCTGTTTAGATTATATTAAATATTTTGCTGTTACTAACATTTTTATATATATACCTATGTGTATATGCACAAGTTTATATGTTGTATAAAGTTATAAAAGTAGAATTGCTGTATCAAAGTTTTTCCCATAGATTTTAAACAAACACCCATTCTGATGTTAAATTTGAACTGCATTTGAAATTTATTCTCTACTTATTGCCATTAGAGTCTCACATGAATGAGTCTTTTAACCATGTCCCGCTGTGTAAATCATCAGGAAAAGCAGCTATGTATTACATTTTTCCAGTTACTGCTTGAAATTTCTATTTTTTCTCATTAAAATATTATCCGCTTCAAAACTAAGCCTTTGACTGCAGTAAAACCTGCTTGCCATTTTGATGGAGATGCATAGTTTATGAAGTGAAAGTGATTTGTAACCCCTAAGCTGCCTGATGTGAAGTTGGTGGCAGCAACTTTCAGCACCTCACTAATATTTCCCCTGGCTAAAAGGTGCTTTAAGCTCATTGGTATCTGATGTGCACTGGTCTAATCTCCCCCTGAAATACTGCCTTCCAATTTTTCTCTGATGTGTCAAGTGACTCTAAAATTTGCCTTGCTATTTTAAAAATATATATTCCTTTCCTTTCAGCTCCTTCTCTTCATAAACTAGGAACCTGCCTTGTCTTTCCTCCTTGGATATGTCTTCCATCCTCGCTCATGTTCCTTTCCTCCTATCCTGTTGCAGGTGTTTTTTTTTTTCCCCCCTCCAGTGGGCAGCAGAATTTGTTCCACAGTGGAAATTTAAGCATCCTCAAGTTTCTTCCCAGCTTTTTCTGTTTTCTTAGACTAAATCGCCAATTTCTGCTTTTACAGGAAATCCTTTTTTTTTTTTTTAAATATGAGTGTGGTCCCCATTCACTCTGCAAAAAATTGTGCTTTTCTCCATTTTCAAGTAAGAATTTTGCAAGTTTTAAAAATATTTTCAAATAGTGAATGTATAGTAGTTTTCCCTTGGGCATGGCTTAACACGTGTGAAATGACTTTAGGAGAAATAATAAAATCCTAACTTTGTCTGTATTTCAGTTCACAAGAATTTTTCTCAGAGCTAAGTTCTAAACTTCTGTGATTAGGTAAAAAGTGTGGGAGACAGTACAGTATTTTTTTTTTAAAAAAACACATGCATAAAAAAAACTAACTCTACTTGAATAGCAGTAGTTATATGCCCTTTATTTATGATTGCCTTATTGCTTTGGCTCCCAAATATGGAAATACTGCAGTTTCATGTCAAAGGGAAAAATTCCTTACAGTAAGACATCCTTTTCCTAAATCTCCAGTAATATGGATTGAGTCTTCTGTCCTTTCTTCTCAGCTCATAAGTATATGAGACCTGATTGTAGTTTGTACCCTCATGCATATTCCTTTTGGTCTTTGTTTATTTGTTTACTTTTTCCAGAGGTCTTGTTACCAGAAAAATACACATGGAACAGTTCATACACAGGGTAGATTATGTGACGGCAAACTCCAAGGGATTAATTACACAGAAGTCTGCTATTAAAATAAAGAACTTTAACAGAGAACACAGAAAAAGTTCTGTAAACTTTATACAGTCCATTTTAACTTTACAAAGAAGACTTTAATACTTCATCTGAAGTCAGATGGGCTGATAATTAAATATGGGGGAAAAGACTCATGCTGCGGTATGATTTGATTTTGTATTTACCAAAAAAATTAAGCTAAAATATTGAGACACAATTTTAAAAAGATATTCCTGAATAGAAGGTTTCAGTAATTCCACATTTTAAGCAAAAAGATAGAGATAAAATATTTATTTATGTGACTCTTTTGTAGCATTTAAGACATTTGAGATTCTTCACAGAATTGCATAAATTATTGGTAACACAAATTAATTAAAACATCTCAACCTATAATGAAACAAGGTGAGGGCTGAAGGAAACAGAAGTATAGACATCTCTTCAAGCTTACTTGAAATTTTAAAGACTGTTGAAACATTCCTTTGTTGTCTTCTGTAGCAGAAGAACTTAAAAATTATAGTATTATACCCATGGCTCAAATACAATAGTAAATAAATTATTAGGGTATTCATATAATAAACCAAATAGCTTATCTGGACAATCTGGTCATTTTTCCTTTAATTTTTAATGTGACTGTTTTCTTTAAAGAGAAATAAACTAGTTTAACAAGTTTTTTGTTTCTAAAAAATAATATAGCAATGGGCCTACCTTAGTGACCTAATTTTTTTGCCATGAAATTCTTTGTGAAAACTGAAATCTATAATATAACAGGACTAATTTACACAGGAGAGTTTAGTGTTTCACCATGATTAAACTTGATTTTCCCATTAGTTTGTAAAATCATCAAAGGCAAGAGTCCGCTTGTAAGCATTTTACCACTAACTCGTCATTAAGTGGAGTTTCAGAGTTCATTAATTCAGGAGGGCTTGATTGAATGCCAGTCTAAATGTAGCTTGTGGAATGCCAGAATCATACCCCTCAGCCTGGAGGGGCTGAGCAGTGAAAGTAGGAGAATGGAGAATAGGAACCAGGAGTCAATAGGCAGGTTGCGGAGGGCATGTAGTCTAGTAGTCAATAAAACAGATGAACTTAAAATGGGGTTCTGTCCTGATAAATGGTGCCACGCATTTCGGCAAAGCATATCGCACCAGCATGTTCACTGGCCTAGGAAA